GCGGAGGCGAAGGCACCACGGCGGCTGGTGGAGCCGCAGCTCCGCCCGCAGGCCGCGACAGACGCGTTGGCCACGCGCACCATCGCCGAGGCGCAGGCGTTTGGTCTGCAGAGCATCCCCAACCTTCCACCCAACGCCCACAAGTTCCCGCACGAGTACCACACCCCAACCTCCCGCTATCCGGCCACGCCGAAGGAGAGTGAGGGCGTCAATGACTGGATGTCCTACACCGCAAAGTATCTGGACAAGCAGTTTACGCACCAGGCGGAGCCAACGCCAGTGTACAACGTCAATAAGCTGTGGCCCATGCAGCAGGTACCTGGGAAGGTCGACCAGACGCCCTTCGAGGAGGACCAGACATGGCTCCTGCACCCTATTCCCGTGCAGCAGATGGAGCAGCATCACCCAGAGAAGGATCTGCAGGATCTGCCGTTCGTCAACCACGAGCAGTTCCCACGCTCGCTGGAGTGGACCGCTCCATGAGGGAGTGTGCGGCACCTCCTCACCATTCGCGACGAGTCTGCGTCCTGTGCCCTCACTGCCTTCCTCCTTTTTGTTGGTTCCTGCTTCTCTTTCTGTTTGCTGCCCGGCGCAGCAACACCAACCACGTGCCCCTCCTTTCTTTTCCACCCGTCTGCTGGGCGGGGAAGGGGGGAGAACGGCCACTCTTGCATCACGCTTCCCTCTCTCTCTCTCTCTCTCTCTCTCGGCTCCTCCTTTCGCTCTCGCCGAATCCCTCCGCGTGTAGGTTCACTGCGGTGGCAATGGCGGCGGAGCTCGCGCACATTCTCAAGAAGAAGGAGGGCATCCTCGCCTTGGAGCCGCACCTCGACCGCCGCGTGGTGGTATCGCTGGAAGGGAAAGAGGTGCATGGCGTTCTCAAGGGCTTCGACAACAACATCAACCTCGTCCTGGCGAACGCCGAGCTGTGGGTGAAGGACGCCCTCGTGCGGCGCGTTGGTGCGTGTGTCATCCGCGGCGGTTTGCTGGTCAGCGTCTCCTCGGGTGACACCACCCTCCTCGAGCGCAACCCCTTCGTGTAGCTCACCGCCGCACTTCCCGCCCGCCCGCTTGCTCGCTCACTCACACGCCCGCGCAGACTCCGGGTGCGGTACGTTGTCGCCGTCCCGTGCGGCGCCTCACACATGGCAATGCGGTGGTGCGGGGGACGGCTATAAGTCACCAGAAGACGCACTGCACACACACACGCACCAAGCCCGTCCGTTCGCTGCTTAACTGTTGGTATTTCTCCGTGTGTAGGCCCATTTGACTGCGGCTTGACTGGCGTGAGGCCCGCTCACTCCTCCCGCTCAGGCTGTGCACGTGCACGCTGACACCTGGATCGTTCTCCCCCAATCTCTTACATCACTTGCTGAAGGTAGCCACACAGAGAGAGAGTGAGTGAGAGAGGCATGCAAAAGGCAGAGGCGAGGGTGCTTTATTTGATTGCGCTGTAGTTGTGCGGCAACACGCGGTGTAATGAAAGCTCAGAACTGAGGGAAAAAAAAAAACGGCGGTGCCTTCACAGACCACTCTGCCAACCGCGTGGAGGTGCCCCACCAGGCCCGTTCTAGTGTCCCTTTGCGTTATACGCCGCTTGGTTAGTGACGCTCCGCCGTCGTGGGAGGGCCGCGGCGGTCAACCGAATACTCCTTCTGGCGCGCAGTGAAGATGTCGCGTGCATACCGTGACAAGGAGGCCGCCGCTGCACGTGTGTCCCCCCAACTCCTCCGTGCTGCCCGTGCAGTGGTGGTGCAGATGGCCTCCCTGTGGCGCCTGCCAGGGGAGTAGTTCCTCTGAGCTGTTTGTCTGTTGGCCGAGGGGCGACGATGGCCTCGTAATAATTGCGTTGAGTCCCGAGGGCTGCGTTCTTCATGATAAAGATTCTTTTGTTTTCATTTCATTGCTGCCCCGTTGTGGGCTGGGCGCTGTTTAATTCACCCGCGACTGCACTCACTTGTGCTGTGTGTGTGTTGTCCGGGAGGCGTCTGTTTGTTTCTTCTCTGGGTGTGTTGGGGCTTTGCTTGCTGCTGGGCGTTGTGTGCGGCCTGCCCTCTAACTGATATCACTTGTTGGGTGGTTCACTGTGCTACGGTGCACTGTGTTGGTGCCGTGTCCCTCTCGCTCTCTGTGTGTGTGCCACCTGCTGTGCTCCTCCTCTCCCCCGCAGACACAGGTGGTCCCAGGCTACATTGACGCTGATGCTGCGCCACGTGCTGTGCGTGTTGGCCCTCGCGCTGTGCTGCTGCACCTCTCTGTGCGTGGCTGCGGTTGCGTCTGGTGCTGTTGGTGATGGTGCACCTGAGGGCACAGTTAAATTCCCTCTTGTAACTGGCGACGCGAAGATAACGCTGACGGAAACAGTTGATGACAGCAGCTGCACAGTACCACAGGACCAGACTGGGAACTCCAACGACCGTACAATTTCCACTACGGTTACTTTGAAGAAGGATGGATCACAAGAAACGAAAGAAATTAAGAAGGAACCCCTTAAGATTGTCAAAGTTCCCCTTGGGCACGGCTTAATGCTGGAGACATCTTTGATTGTTGAGTGTACGAAACAAGGTGAGGCTGATGCCGCCATCACGAAAACAAACTGCACTGCGGAAGATTCAGAAGCGGCTACCGGCAGTATCACTTATGTGGCCACTGCTGCCGACTCCACAGCGGGCGGTATTACAACAACGAACAAGCAGGAAGTCAAGGTACCAGTTGGGTTTGACGTGAGTATTATCGAGAAGGTTGTAGTCAAATGCAAGCCTTTCTCAGCAGCGGAGCCACATGTCTTGCCTACAACGGCCAAAATTCCTGCCGAACCACATGGGAAATCGCATACCGACCAGGACGCTGAGGAAACGTCTATTCCACCTGAGGGTCCCCCACCCGAGCACAAACCTCTCACAACACTGACAGACAATCGGGAGACTCACGGCCGGCAGACACGTCAAGAAGTGGGGACCACAGCGCCCGACCCCACCACCATTAGGAAAGGATCAGCAAGTCCTGCGGCTGATAGAAAACAGAGCAGTGCTCTCAACAACGACGTCGCCACACCATCTTTCAGTGAGGCAGAGAGCACCGAAACAGACAACTCCGTCACAGTGAGTGACGCCGATCACACTGCCCCCACAACCACACCTCAATCAGAGACCACCACCGAAGGAGCTCCCAAAACTGACGCCGGTATGTCCACCTCTGCGGGAGAGGGCGTGAAGCTTCCTGACCGCAACACCGACGCCAGCAGCAGCAGC